CAAATCTGCGGAAATACATGGTAAGACACTGGTCAAACTGGTTACAGCGGAAAAGCCGTCCATACCAAGGTAAGCGGTGAGCTGATAAGCACGAAAAGGAACGGCGTCAAACCACACTCTAGAGGTCATTTTAAAGACAAGATGCAGCCATACGTACTTCTGGATACATAATTTGCGATCTTCAGAAATGTACATAGGGCTACATTTTCAGAATGAGACTATGTTGGTAAATAATATCCGTAGTAAATATCCGTAGAAGTTTTAACTGCTTTCTAGTCATAAGACCAGCAGTTTTAGATATCTTGTAGTTCAAGATTTTATTTAATATTTTCATGTATTTATCTATGCAAAATAAGCTTCAATTATAAGCATAAATAAATGGGGAAAATAATATCATATGCTAATATATTACTATATATTTTTTTAAATCTGTTATTAGTGTTATTAAAAATATGGCTTATTTAAATATTTAGACTGAATGTTACTGTATGATTGTATTGTTGTTTGTTAATTATTAATAAATAATATAATTATTGTCTTTCCAGGTTAAATTACACAGTGTGCTGCACATATTTTATGACATAATTAGCAGTCATTCTGGCACTTTTTAATGCTCCCAAAAACAGAAACTGACTGTTCACTCAAGATTGTGACGCAGTCTGTCATTCAGTTTTGTGTACAAACAGGCATTGTGATGACGAACTTTGTGACAAACGTTGTCCCTCAGGTGTAATTTTAAGGACGTGAACTTTCATGGTAAAACTCCCTCATTTGTTTCTGTCTAAACTCTTGGATGTGAAAAACCTACTGTCCATTATATCGTTAGGAAAATTGTTCCTCCGGCAAAATTACCCTAATTGAATAATCGGTGAATTAGACTGCAAATAATGCAAAATAAAACCGCTTTCTGTTTCCACCCACAAAGCAGTTATGTAAATGTCATTTAGATCATTTGTGAATAATGTAGATTCTGCCAGTGGCGTGGAGATGGGTCAAGGATCACAACAGGTCAAGTGTGTGGCTTTTTCCTGCATTTATTCATACATTCATTACATTTTTTTATATATATATATATTCTGTATATATTCATGTATACAAGCTGGATTCAATTAAGTACAAATGCATTTGTATGGTTCTTTTTTATGATATTTATTGTTTCAAAGCAGCTTTAGAAAAGGTTATTGCATTACAATTAAAATCAGAAACAGTTCATGTGTTGTGTTTAGGTGGACACTGCAACAATGAAACGTATACAGTTGGGAAAATATTGAACATGTCACCATTTTTCTCAGAAAACATTTTTGTAAAGGTGCTGTTGACTTGAAATTTTCACTGGATGTTGATAGCAACCAAACAAATCCATACATGACCCCCCCCCCCCCCCCAAAAAAAAATTTATTAGTTTACTAATGAAGTTCTTTGTAATAAAATAATATGACAAAGGAGAAAAGTATTGAACACATGAAGAAAGGGAGGCGTAGAAAGGCAGCGAAAGCCCAGACAGCAGATGAAATCTCTCAGTTGTTCTTCAGCAATCCTCTGTCCTTCCTCATTGTAAATGAAAATCAACTGCTTCAGTCCAACATTTACATTTGCAGGATGATGAAGATGAAACCAGGGTGGACATTTCAGCAAGACAAAGATCCAAAACACAGTCAAGGAAACTCTCAAATGCTTTCAGAGAAAGAAAGACAAGCTGTAGAATTTAAATTCTGACCCTACCCCTTCTGCTGAATGTCGAGCAGAAATCGAGACTAATCAGAGCAGGCAACGTTTTTTCAATCTTCTATTGTCCAGTTTTGGTGAGCCTGTGTGAACTGTAGCCTCAGTTTCATGTTTTTAGCTTACAGGAGTGGCACCTGGTGGGGTCTGCTGCTGCTGTAGTCCATCTGCCTCAGGGTTTGATCTGTTGTGTACAAAATGGGTCTAGAAAGTCTACAAAAGTGGGACCTTATATTCATAGAATTTTAGAATTATAAAAATATATTTACTCACAGAATTTTAGAATCACTTTAGAGTCATATAATTAGACTTTTAGAATCATAGAATTTTACAAACTTTTATTCATAGTATCTTGGAAATAACGGGATCTTAGATTCATAGAATCAAACAACTGTAGACTCACACAATCAAAAATATTAGAATCAAAAAATAAAATCTCAGAATCTTAATCTATTCAATGTTAGTATCACAGAATCTTATAATCATGGATTCTTACAATCACTGAATTTTTGAGAGTCCTGGAATCATTAGCCCCTTTCACACAGTGATACTGGTAAATATCCGAGAGAGGTCTGGATGCAGACCTGGTGTAGTGCAATCTGAGCTGCATCCAATGCTTTTTAATGGGCTCACCTAACCCCACACCTAACCCTACCTCACACAGTGACGTCACTCACTCCATTGAGTGCATGGTGTCTGACATTGCATCGCTAAGTGATGCAATTTCAACTTGCATCCTAAAGGCTGCATTCAGATACTATTGAAATATCCTGAATATTGCGGAACGACTTTACCTGTAAATTCAAAAAAGACCATTCACACATCCGTTCCAAAATACCAGTAAATTCTGACATCGGTAACCAGAAATAAGAAAAACATCCCCTCTAAACTGCTGCTCATGTATTTGTAAACATAGAAGGGGTCAGGCTTTTGTTGATGATTTCACTTTTATCTAAAGCTTTAGCAGTCATGCAGCTGCTTTATCCCAGAGATATCCAATGGCAGAAGTGCAAACCCGTTTACACATTTGACTACATTACAAATTCTGTGGATGGATCAGTCTTGTGAACAACTTTGATAAAAACATGGAGGAACATATTTACATGTCGAGATGTATATAATATGCACTGACTGGAGCACTGCTTTACTTCACGTGCTCATGCGTCAAGCAACTGAAGCAAGGTAAACAAACAGCGATTTATCAAAAGCGTTTTATTGATTTTTTTTTACAGTTGACATTAAGAAGGAACATGGAAACATTTTCTGACTAACATCTAGCAGCTAAATGTGTCTGGAAAAATATTCTAAAGCTTTTATTTTCATAAAAAAAAGCATCTGAATATTTTGATTGGCCTGAGTAGACATCTCACGTCTGAGCTTTCTAGACATGAACGCGTTCTTTCCGGCAATTTCACTTCACACAGCGCAGCATTTGCAAATGGGCTATATGCACAGCTAGAGTTTTAAAGCCAACGATAAACATCCGGTGAAAGCTTAATGTGACTATTTCCAATTTCACAAGGTTGTTTTTTACAGCATCGATGCTGTTATTACAATACATGCAGTTAAATAGACTTAAGCTTTCATTCAGTTGTTCAACCACGAGATGAAAGACTGTCAGTAGCAACAGGCTAGCACAGAAATTCCATTGAAAATACTGGGGTAACATAAACTGTCATATTTTAAAGACATGGCGGGGGGAAATGGAATTTAATGCAGTGTGATTGTCCAATCTGAGACCCACTTTAAAAAAATCTGAGGTACTGGAAATAAACCGTAAAATAACAGCCGTTAAAGGACAGAAATTTTCTGTAAAATAACAGATATTAAACTACAGAAATGTCCTTAAATTAAAATCGCTGGACAATTTCTGTAATTCAACCTCAGATATTTTACAGTAAATTTCTGTAATTTAACGGCCGTTATTTAACTTTTTTTTCCCAGCACCCCAGCTGCCGGAATAACATGTAAAATTACAGATTTATTTTTACAGTGCACTTTAAATCGTATATCTAACAGGCAGTGAAGATCGCTGATTTTGTAAGAAATCAGAACTTAAACATGAAAATTTTGTAATGGAAAGACAGTGCACCAGAAGCTCTTGAGCTGCCTGACTATAAATTAAAAGTCCGTGTGCATATAGCCTATTATGGGTAATGGTACAACTTTTCTTTCTGGAAAATTTACCAGTATTTTCGAAAAGAACCTGTTCACACAAACAGACCTTTCCGGAAAAATGCCAGTAATTTTACGGAAAGAAAGGTCTGTGTGAGTGAAAGGAGCTATAATCTTTGATTCATATAATATGACCATCAAAGAATCTTAGAATCATAAAATAACATACTTTTTAAATAATAATAAAATCACAGAATCTAAGAACCTTGAAATTGTAATCTTTACATTCCACAAAAGGCTCTTTATTTAATAAAATAATCCTAGCAAAAATGGTTGTCCTATAGCAGGGGTGTCCAAACTCTGTTCTGGGGGGCCCCATAGCATACCTAGAAAGAGCTTGATTAACTGGTTCAGGTATGCTTAATTGGGGTTGGAACTAAAATATGCAGAACACCGGCCCTCCAGGACTGAGTTTGGCAGCCTGATCTCACGAGGAAAGTATTTTACGTTTTGTCAGTTTAGTGGTTGATTCAGTCGTACAAAAATGTACAATTTTAAAAAGGAGGCGTGGCACCCAACCCCACCCCTAACCCCAACCATCACTGGGGGATGAGCAAATCGTACTAAATTGTATGAATTAAATCATACGAATTCAATTAGCCACTAAATCAAAAAGTTACGAATTGCCAGGAGATTGTGTTGATTTTGCGTTGATTTTTGTCCGATAGCATCACTGAGGAGAAACAAAAACGCTTTTCAAATCTTTGCTTTTAACAGTTTAGAGCACTAACTTAAATATTTCCCTAATCTTATCCAAACTGTGCATATCATGATTTATTCTATTCCAGTTTACTGTCTGAAAATAGCTTTAGAACCCAGACCAGCATTTATTATAAGAAAAATACAGATTGTGCACGTACAGACTTTTCCATCTGCACGTGACACCGCAGTTGTACAGAGACCCTGATGTTGCTGTATTTTTATTCCACATCATTGCATAAGGAAAGGCAAACATGAAAAAACAGACATGATGCGACAGTGGAATGAGGAGGCGGAGCTTAAACCAACAGATGATGGACTGATTGAAGCCCTATTGGACAGGTAGCAGACAGGTGGACACCAGCAGTCAATCGCACATCAGATATCCACATCAAAACGACCATATTCAAGGAAAACACCAACACTCTAGAAGAATCCAGCAAGTTGACATCACGTCTGATTTTGAAGGTAATAACCCGTGTTTTCTTTCTCATCTGCTTGTTTTTTGGTCTGATCTTCTTGATTGTTGATGTCTCGTGTTTCTCTTTATCTCACTAACTTATGCATGCAAGATAAAGGCCCGTATTTCACTGGTATACAATCAGGCATCTGACTTTGATGTTAAAATAAGAAGCAAAAACATGTTTTGTCTGTATTTTCAGATCGTGTCTCTATATGCAGTTTTATACTACTGTTTCTGTGTAGCACAAGCACATTTGCATGGTGAGGTTTGCATAACTGACCTCAGAGCTGTGTGCAAACAAACATCATTCTCAGCAGTGTCTCTATAGATAAGACACAGTGATGCTTTCATATATATATATATATATATATATATATACACTTTCCGGATGCATATATATATATATATATATATATATATATATATATATATATAAATATACATATGCATCCAGAATGTATATCGCTTCACTTTTTTTTCCTTTTTTTGATGTTTAAGCCTTATTCCAAAATGTATTAAATTCATTTTTTTTCCTCAAAATTTTACACACAATTCCTCATAATGACAATGTAAAAAAGAGTTTTTGAAATTGTTGCAAATTTATAAAAAATAAAAAAGCTGGAAAATCACATGTACATCAGTATTCACAGCCTTTGCTTAATACATTGTTGATGCACCTTTTGCAGCGATTACAGCCTCAAGCCTTTTTGAATATGATGCCACAAGCTTGGCACACCTGTCTTCAGGAATTTTTGCCCATTCCTCTTTGCAGTACCTCTCAAGCTCTATCAGGTTAGATGGGAAGCGACACTGTACAGCCATTTTCAGATCTCTCCAGAGATGTTCAATTATATTTGGGTCTGGGCTCTGGCTGGGCCACTCAAGGACATTCACAAAGTTCTTGTGAAGCCACTCTATTTATATTTTGGTGGTGTGCTTAGGGTCATTGTTCTGCTGGAAGATGAACCATCCCCCCGAGTCTGAGGTCAGGAGCACTCTGAAGCAAGTTTTCATTCAGGATGTCTCTGTACATTGCTGCATTCATCTTTCCCTCTATCCTGACTAGTCTTCCAGTTTCTGCTGCCGAAAAACATCCCCACAGCATGATGCTGCCGCCACCATGCTTCACTGTAGAGATGGTATTAGCCAAGCAGATGGTATCTGCTTTCTCCAAACGTAACGCCTGGCATTCACTCCAAAGAGTTCAATTTTAGTCTCATGGGACCAGAGAATTTAGTTTCTTATGGTCTAAGAGTCCTTCAGATGCCTTTTGACATATTCCAGGTGGGGAGTGGCTTCCGTCTGCCCACTTAACCATACAGGCCTGATTGGTGGATTGCTGCACAGATGGTTGTCCTTCTGTAAAGTTCTTCATCCTTCACAGAAGAACGCTGCAGCTCAGACCGAGTGACCATCAGGTTATTGATCACCTCCCTGACTAAAGCCCTTCTCCCCGATCACTCAGATTAGATGGCTGGCCTGAAAACCATGAACTACTTCCTCTCTGTCTAATTCTTGCAATATTTTTGAGATGGTGGTATTTGGATTTAGTTGCTGCTTTGACATGACTATTGAAGCTCAGATCTGACTCCAGAATCACATCAAGATTCTTGACCTTTTTGTTGTTGTTGTTGTTTGACCTTTAGAGCCAAGATACACATTCACATTGAGAACCTCATCTTTGTTCTCAAACGCAATGACTTCAGTTTTCTCTTTGGTTAACTGAAGAAAGTTTTGGCACATCCAGCTGTTATACATCTGCTTCTGATTTGTGCATTGTAATGTTGTAATGCAATACCCCCAGCGTACAGTCAGTTATGCAAAGTCATAAACTCATCACCTCTTTTATTTCTCTGCCAAAGCATGTTGAAAACGAGGAAGTAAGTTCAAGATGATGAGCGTATAGGAAAATATATATCAGTGCGCTGTGTTGAAAACATTAGTAGGAAGTGTGTGTGGACTTCAGCACGTATGCGTCTTGAGCAATTGGAAACCCGATTGTTAAATATTCTGATGAAAATTTGCTCATGTAAAAGATGCCACCTTGATGACGCTGTTGTTAGGTGATTTTAAGAGCATTGCTCAAAAGGTTTCAAAGTTTCAAAAAAGTATTTGAACACACCCACATGAAAAAAATACTATAGTATTTTATGAGGAGCCATGCTATAGTTCAGTACTTGAGTTAATTTGTATTGAAAATTTGATAGTAATTCAACAACTATAGTAGTATTTCCAAATATACTTTTCTACAGCTAAAATTTGTACAATTAAAATTCTTGCTGCCTCATTTTTTTAGTTGAATCAACTTAACTCTTCTAGTCCTCTCTACTTACATCAGTCAAACTGAAAGAAATAAGGTTTTAAACTTTTTATAGCCTAAAAAACTTAGTTGAAACCTGATTAACTTAAAGTGCCATGAAACCCCCTCGTTTCTGCAGGGTGTTTTCACACCTCTACTTTGGAAAAGTGGGCGTGTCCAGCTCTGTTTAGGCGGGAGTGTCGGAGGAACTAAAGTGGGATGGTGTGGGAGTGTCTATTTGGGCATGCGCGAGTTTCAGAGTCAAAACACACACACACACACACACACACGGGAGAAAGTGACTGTGTTTACATGGACATCTGTAGTCGAATTATTTGCCAAATTATAAAATGGTGGACTTTAACTGCAGTTTGGCACTTTCATTCAGGGAATTCATTCATGCCCCTCGCGACAAACGAGATATTTGATTCGAGGAACTGCTCTAAGCGTGTATTTTTCATGCAATGTTTGATACCGCACGGCGAATGAGAGAAAAAACCCTCCGCATTTCCCGGAAACTTAGATGCACACAGCAGGTAGTGTCAGAAAGCCGCGTGTGTTATTCCGGTCACAAAATGCGGTAAAAACCCTAAACGAGGTTAAAGATTGGTTGTGGTGCTAACATGTTTACACTCAGTGCAATAGTTAACTTAGTTCGTTACGAACAAACTGAATAAACAAAGAGCACTGGTCACTCACTTACCAAATCTGTAGGGAAAGGACAATCACCAGCAACTAGAGCCGCGTCTTTATGAAGAGAAGACTACAAGCGAATCCGGATCTCAGCATTTGCAGATGAGAACAGCTCTCAGGTAAACAATAATCCTCCTTAGACACGTAAGTTATTGTTGTTGAGCGTCGCGTACACTGTTAATCCACACGTGATCCAGCTGCGCTCTCACAGAGAGAAAATGAAAACAAAACGTCACTGCAGCAAACTATAAAAGCAACACTTCACGCTTGTTTTGCCAACACAACGTGGCGTCTCTGTCATCTAAACACTATGACAGTAATGAATATTAATAAAGTTGCACAATAGAGCGCGCTGATTGGTTTGAACCAAGCCTTACTCATGCATTAATGCATCACACTGTAAGACGTAATAAGACACACTCTGGCACAGACTCCCAGTCTGCACGCTGGAATACAACGCTATTATCTCATGTCTATGACGCAGCTTCAAAAATTCGTTTCAAACAGGAAGTACAAATTTGCTTGAAATAACGCAAAAACAACCAATTTACACTTTTTAGTGAAATATAGGTGTCATAATAGTGTTTTTAGCAGTGTGGGACACATATTCGACTGTCAACAGCTCAAAAAATGTGTTTTGGTGTTTCGTGACCCTTTAAAAAAACGAGGTAAATCAACATACATAAGTTTGTTTTCTTTATTATTTTTTTTTCAGTGTACTCAAATACAGTTTACTTAAACTAAGTTATACTACAGTATTTACAATTTATCATTTAACTATATTTAGTACATTATGCTGTAGCATTCAACAAGGTGTTAAAAATGTTGTAATATATACAGTATAATACACTTACTATAATGTTAAAAACACTGTAGTATTTTTAATACAGCTTTTCAGAGTGTACTGCATTTGATAGTGTGCCCTGATCTGTTTTATTTTAATGATTAATTAATTAATTCATTCATTTTCAACTGCTAATCCGGGGCCTGGTCGCGGGGGCAGCAGTATAGGAGAGAACGTTCGAGGTTACTAAAGTAACCCTTCGTTCCCCGAGGAGGGGAACGGAAGCACTATAAGTGGATTTGATTGTAAAATCCACGCATTGGGAGGTTCGGTTCAGAAGCTACTCGTCTGAAAGAGTATTGAACGGGCCAATTAAGAATGAATTGGCAGCGCAAGCCTGCGCAGGTGAGCGGCATAAGCAATCAACTGAGTATATAAGCTCACCTGGCGCCAGCAGACGCTATCCTTTTTAAGCTGAAGAGACTTTCAACAGCTAAGGGACAGTCATTATGGCGACGGAGTATAGTGCTTCCGTTCCCCTCCTCGGGGAACGAAGGGTTACTTTAGTAACCTCGAACGTTCCCCTTCGGGGGGAACTTCAGCACTATAAGTGGATTTGATTGTAAAATCCACGCATTGGGAGCCCATTGAAAGCGCCATAATGACTGCACCTTACCAACACCCCCGATGAGGAGATAGTCAAGCAAGCGTGACGCACCCACATCATGGGGGGCGCGGTCCTCCAACGTGTCCCTGGCCCTAATTTATCCTACTTCAACAGAAGTTTTACGGATTTATATATATTTTTGGGAAGTCGTGAGCATCTAGATAATTCTAGGAAAATACGACAGTACGTTGGGAAGCGTGCAATCCCGATAGGGAGGACGCTGCGGAGGCCATCCGTTACCCAAGGGGGGATAGATGGCAGAATTTACATATGGACTAGCCCTAAAAAGGGGGAGTACGCATAGCAAAAGAGTGGTTAGCGGGGAGGGAAGACACGGGTCCGCCCAGGGGGGGGGACTTAACCGTGGCTGAATAAGCATATGGGATCGCCTAGTGGGGACCACGCATAGCAGGCACCTTTACCCAAAACGCGGGCTGACCAGCGGGCAGACCTACAACGTAGTGGGCCAGCAAGTGACTCCTCCGCTGAGTCAGTGCTGGGGGCCACGGAGGAATCTGCAGGGCTCACCTGACGGGGAACTTTACTGACAGATAAAAAGGCG